TGAACTGAAAATTTTCAGATTGAATTTTTTGCAATCTGAAACTGAACTGAGGTTGATCTGAACTGAAAATTTTCAGATTAATCTGAACTGTTCAGAGCTTTAACTAAGGAACTATTAGAAGAATCACGTAATAAACCAAAAAGAGATTTGTGGTTAAAAAATATTCACCCAAATTTCAAATTGTTGGAAAAAATGAATGGTGACATTATGGCATTAAAAAATCGAAGAACAATGCCAAAAACCTGGTAAGACTTTAATAATAATACAATGTATTGGGAATAATAACAAACAATTGAGAAACGGTTTGTTAATAACAGTTCTTGAAAATTTTAAATTGTAATTGGTTCTATATTATACAAATTAAAAATATAAAAAGTTTTCTTTTACAATATATACAGTATATATAATCATTTAAATTTTATTGATAAAAAAATTTTTGCGATATTACCCAATAAATCAATTCCGAAATCACGTGTTACCCGGTAAAAATTGTCCGGCTACCATTTTTTGGTGGCGACGCTAGGGTTGTTGAATTTGGTTTTTATCACCGCAAAAAATTATTGTCCCGACACGTGTTAACAAAAAAATTAGCGCGAAAAAATATTTTGAACGCAGAGCATCCCTAAATGAGTGTGACACTGAGCCGTTTGAGCGGAAGATTGATTGTTATATCTCAAGCCTCGGTACGATCGCCGATAACTAGAAGGACTGCAAGCGTAAGGAAGCATTTAAGTCAATAAGAATTTTTCGTTGTAAATTTCTGGGATAATGTTTGAGCGTAGGTGGCCTTCTGGGTTGTCTATCGTTCAGGCAGTGTTAGAGCGCAGGTTACCTTCTGGGTTGTCTGACGTTCAGGGCTTCTGGCCGATCTGACACTGGCCCCGTCGAAGCGCAGAGCGACCTTCTGGGTTGTTCTGTCGTGCAAAGGCTTCTGGCCGATTTCGGCGGATGGGTTTTTAATATCATTTAATCAAATTATAATGATTTTATTGACAAAACTTTATGTTAGGTTACTCAACCTGCAGGAAAATGGGAAAAAGACCATTCGTATAAACGGATGCATGTCAATTATCCGTCATTTACGGAAAATACTATAAACAACGGGACTGTCAACGGCAGGACTATTGTTGCTGGAACCATGTCAAAGGGAAGAAACATACGTTCAACTCTTCGTAATGATAGATAAGTACATCTTGTTCGAGAGAACGCCTAAAGGTCACGGAAAGCAATGAACGTCAAGAAGAGGTATAGTAAATCCATCAACATTGTGATAATTCATTGTATTTAATTAAAAATAGAAGCAACTTAACTCCTTCTTTTTGTATTTAGTCCGATGATGATTTCATGCTGTCCGTCAACCAAAGCGGAAAATTTTATCATAATCATAGGTTAGAATGACAATAAAATTTTTGATATAAAATATTGCCTTGAAATTTATGCGAGTATTTTTTTTGGTGACTACTTTGATATTTATAGAATAAAGAATTGGCTGGTTCTAAGAAGGTCCGTATAGAATGCTTCCTTATGATGACGAGGATTTGTTACGGTATTCCTCTCAAAAATTTCTATTATTTTTGCTTGAACAGGCCAAAACTACGAAGAACATGCCATCATCATCACCACGTGTAGTAACAGGTGGAGTAACGACACCATCAGAGCCATCATCATCAATTTCAGAAATACAAGTTGAAACGGAAAGTGGAATCAAAAACTCTTTCATCGACGAACTTGAGATTGAAGATGAGATTGAAGATGAGAATGAAATGTTGAATTCGATATCAATATCATCATAAAGCAACTGGATATGCAACCCATGGTTGAGGTATATGACGTCTAATTTTCAATTCTTGTTTCCGCTGTATTCTTACTATTGTTTTTTTCTGTTATTTAGTGGAGAGTTGATAACATCAATGATTCGCGGAGGTTCCGCCAATATCAACAGATAACAGTTGATAAATTAAAGAATAATGGATTAAAATGGGATGACACATTTGAGATATGTAGGTATTGTTAGAAGTCTGAAAGAAAATTTGCATATCACGAATTTATCCTTTATAATTTATTCAGGGCATTGTCGTCAATTAGTGCTTAGTTCTCATGTCCATATGCAAATTTTACAAACCTATAATGGCACAAATTATTCAAAAAAACCCCTATCAGCTTCAATAACCCATTATTCCACCATCAATCTCAAGTGCTCTGCTGGAAGCATCAAGGAAGCATGTTGTTGTAAAAGACTGTTACATGCATCCTGAGAGATCTAACTACCCGTAGAAAGTCCTACATGTGGTTATACGAGCCTAACGGACCTTCCTCCAATAAAGGTGAATAAATCAACTTCAACACATGAAGATGGGATAATCTTTCATCCATCTTCAAATAATCACTACTCAAGAAGAACGAAGGATACTAAACCTACAAGTGCAACTTCACACCAACGTCCAATGATAAACACTTCATTTTGTGCTCTTCTAATCGCATTAAAAAAATAACATCAACGTCAACCTCAACGTACCCATCTACAACCTACTATTAATCCTTTAAGATCTTCAAGTTATCCTGATTTAAAACACTTTATTTTATCTGTAAATTTGAAGAAATTAATCTTTTTTCCTTTACTTTTTTCTTGTTTTTTTTTTTACATTATAAAATTCACCTTTTTTTTTTATTTAACCATTTATTATTTATCACTTTTATCCTTACTGCATT